CCCCTTTCTGGTGGACATGGCTTCCTGATACTATTTACACTATCACAGGAGTTGATCCATCTCCTTCCTGGATGACATGGCCTTCTTATTCTATTTACATATTCAATAATATCCACAACCACTGGAGTTGATCAGTCACTTTACAAGCTGACATGGCCTCTTTATACTATTTACACTATCACAGGAGTTGATCCATCTCCTTCCTGGATGACATGGCCTTCTTATTCTATTTACATATTCAATAATATCCACAACCACTGGAGTTGATCAGTCACTTTACAAGCTGACATGGCCTCTTTATACTATTTACACTACTGTGGAGTTGATCGGTCACTTTAGAAGCTAACATGGCATCCTTATATCATTTACACTACTTTGGAGTTGATACATCACCGAACTAGTTGATATGGTCTCCTACTGTTCATTTACACATATATAGTTAGTTGATCTGTCACCTTAATGGTTGACGTGGCCTCCTGTTACACATTCCATACCACATTGAATTGATTCATTGCACATGCAGTTCACTCTTTTTGATTGGGAACCCACATCCTACCTTTGCATGGATGTCGGTTCCCAGTAGTGAGGTATTGGATTCGAGTGAACCAATCAACATAAGTCCTTGCACAAGTTGAATCCATCCTCTCGATGCTAAATGGCCAGTCCTGGATTGCTGTAGAGTGTTGATCCTTGTGTGGTACCCAGGAATTGGAGCAGTTCTTAATCCCCAATTATTGTGGTGGAGATGAAGATGGTATGATCCTCATCCTACCCTCATGTGGATGTCAGTTCCCCGTAGAGCAGGTCTTGGATGTTGTTGACTTGCCAAATACGAACCCATGTGCCCTAGCCACTCTACACCCGTGTTTTACAAATTATAAACAAGAGCGAAGAATATATCCAATGGTGCAGTTCTCCTCTTCTGATTTCCGGATCTCTTTCTCTCATGGTCAGTGATATTTTTTGGATGCTTTCGGGGGTGGTTATGTTATTCCCCTGCACCAGTCCCTCCTCCTTCTCAATGTGGAATTCTAGCTAATCTTGTGAAAGGGGGGAAGTACCGTATCGGAAATTATAATTTTCCTATACTGAAAATGTATTTCCGATAGGTATTTTCCACTACTCACACCTCCTGTCAAACTTCGAATTGAAGTTTTGGTAGAAAAGTGTAGAGGGAGAATAGCTAATCTTGTGAGCAGAGGTAAGTATCTATCGGAAATTTTCAGTATAGGAAAAATTATGACTTTGGAGAGAAATTTGCATTATGGCTTAGAAATATCTTTTGTTTCAGAAACTTGTGCTGAACTCAGAATATCAAGGAGTAGAAGGAAAAACTAAATTGGGCAATTTGACACGCAGGTACATCACATAATAAAGAGAGTTAAAGATTGCGATATTGAATATTTTCTTTTGAAATTAAAACTTGTATAAAAATTTGAATTATAAACTAGGTTTTAATGCTATTGTGTAAAGATTTTTTTTTATTTAAGGAAGGACTTAACTATAATGATAGGTACATGCAAAATGTTACGATGTGTGGATGGCAATGATATAATGCTTTGTTTCAAAAAATAATTGTATGAAAAAAAAAGAAACAATATCACGTAGTTAGTATGTTTATTGATTAAAAATTATCCTAATAATAGCAGCTTTTGAAGATCTTGGGAAATATCTGATTATTGGATGAACATTGCTGATTTGGGAGCTGGTCAACTAAGTTAGTAACTCCTGCTTGTAACTCAAGAGTGATCCTATGTACTTTCTGATAAAGGAAGTGATATTTACAACATTAATTGTATTTAGCTGTTGTGCTGTACTATATTTCATAGAAAAAGAATGGTGATCATACATTGGCAACTTATTTGATTGATGTTTAATCGTGGGTTCAAAACTAATGAAATATGGAGAAATTAGTAAGATTAGTTGTATCCAGTCTTTTAAGGAACTTGTTTATATAGTTGATCAATTTTGATGTCTCTTTCAAATCTATTAAAATGCTACATCATCTGAGACCTAGACCAGTCATATATATATATATCTTTGTGTTAACACAAGACAAACCTGACATTTAAATTGTTAGTTACTATGACCATTTATTGCTCATTTTTTTGTAATAGAAAATTGTTTGGGTTTGTTTCAGTTTTTATCACTACATGATAAATATGTTGTAATCTTTCTTTTCTTAAGAGTCCAAGTTCTAATACTTACCCTGTTTTTGTGTAGTCTTAACTGCAAGTTTTGATGAGAGTATAAAGGTGAAGCTCTGACATAAACATGGAAGTATTAAAGATCAAAGATGAACCATTTTCTGATGAGGAGCAGGATACTTTATTGGATATCAAACTGGTAAAAAATGAAGAAACTTTTACACTATCTAGCAGTAAGTACATAGCTTTCAGTTTATTGTGTCAAGGTTGTTATCATTCATGAAACAGTCCTGAGCTTAACAATTTTACTACAGCCAGATACCAGTATCTCATCACAAATTTATTAGAAATTTATTATTTAATACAGAGTAAAGTCCTTTGATTTCAAGACCCAGAGATGTGTAACAGTTAAATCAGGGTGCACTCTTTAGTTTAGGATGTTAAGGAATGGTACAGTAACACAGATCTGTCATTGTCAATGGACAGAAGCAGTGGCCATTTTTAAATGCAGAATTTACCTCTTATAGCAAAAAATAGTGTTGGAACAAGCATTTTTGAATTTGGCACATTCAAATTATCTAACATACATCTGTTCCTAACTTTTAATAAAAATTCTTCTTACTTAAAAAATCTAGGCTTATTTTGGGGTTTTCCATATATGGTAAAAAAAATAAGCTAAGCAGCCTGAAAACAACCTACAAAATTTGTGAAACAATATTGTTACTGTACTTACAAATTTGACTAATATGTAAAAGTTTTATTAGAAAAGAAAATTCAAGGTCAGTTACAAACAAACTGGCAACAAATAAGGAGAATTATCACACATAGCTATTTTTTGTATCAGATGAAAGACATGTTGTGACTAAACGATTTTTCGATTTCATTAATTTATGCATAGTGAAGACTGCATTACAAATATATTGTAACCTGGACTTAAACATGATATTGACTAAAGTATTATTATTATTATTATACTTAGAGGAGTAAATAGAAAAATATCCAAGTGTGTGTGTGTATTTTTCAGTTATGTGGTATCATCACTTGAATGCTATAACCAAAAAATTTGACAGTAATGTATACATTAAACATCTGGAAGCTTGTATGATGTTTTAAGTTAAAAACTGTTCAACCAGCACAACCATGATGTCTGTACATCACACTTGTGGTATTTTACTCACATTGCTACAGTTCTTAAATGGTTAATTCTGAGATGATACCACACCTCTTCACAATAAACTATTGTTACGACAGCAGAAGTCATGCGACGCTGGGAGCATGAACGCTGGAGTTTCTGGAAGGAACATGACTTATCGAAGAACCCAGAATCTCCGAGTGTTTGCCAGGCACCCTCTTTTTTAGTATATAAGCTCGGGAAATAATGCCAGAGAGAGAAGAGATATAGATAGATTGAAAATAGAGATAATTGAGTCAAGCGAACAGTAGGCATCGTAAGTGAAGTGTGTGAATCCCTGTGATTTATAGTGCGTGTTATAAAGGTTATTAAGTTTAAAGTGACTGTGGAAATT